GAATACGTTCTCTCCAAATTTCAGAAGTTTTCAACCTCTTACATGGAAACCAGACCTTGTTCAAAGAAGGCGTTTTAAGATAAATTATTTAGCACTGAGAGTAGAGGTATGTGTGAAATAGAATGAAAGGCTTTTAAAAAATTTGTCTGCCATGGACTTTAGATAATCTTTCTCCTAATAACCATAAAACTATTATATACATATTAAAATACATGAATAAGAAAATAAACCCTATTAATTCACATTCCTCTCAAAATTTATGACATGGTCTATAGCTTAGCAAGCCCCTTCTTAACAAAAAGTGAAAATTAATAATGTAAACAGAATCTTGCTAAGAATATTTAAATACTTAAGGAACCAAACTTTTGAAACCCCCCTAGTCCATGGGGGATGTCACCCACGTACAATTGGTTCACTAGGTAGAGGGAGCTCATTAAAACAGCTCCAAGAGGCCAGTAATTGTTAGACTAGACAGAATGTATGCTTCAAAAGAAATGAAACTCTACATCTTTAAAGATATTACATAATTAAGATTTTCAGTTAAATAAGGCTGACCTTTCCCCCTAATAAGGAGGTTTTATTATACACAGATACATATTAATATAACATACTCAAAGCACTAATGCTGAAAAAGGCTAGTCAAATTCACCCTTCTGGGATTTTTCCCTTTGTATTGCTACCTCCCCTCTACGTGAAGGTCAGAATTCCACACATCCAGTTAAGATGAGGGACGGGCCTGAGCCCTGGGTGCTCGTGATTCTGGCAGAGCAGATGGTGAGGGCAGTGGGCTCTTTGTCACAGATTACTTGCCCAGGCAATCGTTGTGAACTTCAGGGGATTTACAACTGCCTTCGATTTTTACTCTCTCCTCCACAGAGCTTTCTACAGTGTTTCATTCTGTGGGACATAACGGGATTTTGGCAACACTGGGCTGAACAAAGTTAAGTATGCTTTGCTGCAGATTTCTTGTGGCCTTCAACGTGGTAATAAATCTTCAAGAGAGAGATGCGGTACGGATCATCTCCTCCACTTACTTGGCTCAGAAGCCTTTCTGGTGAAACATCTTAGACGACTAGGTTCTTCAAAACACACTCTAGAAAACACTATAATAACACATCCCTGCACTGCCAAAGTAAAAAGTATAAGTCAGCTTTAATCCTTTCAATGGCAGCATTGTCCCAACGACACAGCCTCAACTTCTGGACGGCCTTGCACCATCTGGCTCCTGCTTATCTTCCCAGCCTCAGCCTCATTCCTTATCACACCATCTCACACTCACACTCCTGCGAGACAGAACTGTTGGGGGATTTGCTGAAACAACAGGCTTCGGGGCCTTGCTCTAGCTCCCCAGTGCGTACCCACCGGCAACCTTAGCTTGGCTTTCTTCTAGCCAGTTTTCAGAATGAGTTCTGGAGAAACCTTCTTAGAGCCACAAGCATGTACTTGAAGCCTCTTTTATGTGTTCCTGTACCTACTCCATATTAATCCCATTTCAGCATCATCTACTGCCCTGAGTCTAGTTGGCCGTCATTAAGGTTGGGACTGTGTTCCATACGCTGTTATGCTGAACTCCCAGTGCCTACCACTGTGCCTGGCACAGAGAGGCCATAACTAAATTTACGAATTATTGAAGTGACAGCTACATCTTGCTAGGGAGTTGAGGGCACACCCCACTGCTGCTAGTAATTGAGGACTGCCTCGCCCACTCTGTGGGTATATATAAAGGTTTGCTTACCCATAGGTGGGCAGCAGAGGGTTCCTACTCTACCTGGTACAATTATGAAGCCAGTTCTACTGACCCACATTAATAAGGAAGCAGAAGTGTCCTATACACTGGAGGTTCTACACAAAGTCCTCTTTCTTAACACTGGGACACTGGGCCCTATCAGATGGACATAAGAGGATGACGCAGAGTTGGCCTAAAGAAAAGTGAATCTGGTACAGCTCCTTAGAACTGCCAACTTTGGCTCAGAGCCAGAGCCTAAGGACAACCTGGTACAGGTACTTATTCATCACACCCTTCTTCTATTTGGCATCCAGAGAGCTATCATCAAAGTCTGGGGACGCAGCTACATAATTTCTTTCTCATCACTGCTATGGCATCTCAGATTTCTTTGCCATTCTAGAGCAACAGCACTGATGATGTGGCCATGGCTCCTATCTGGAAGTTTTGCTTTGCAGCAGGCTCACATAAAAGATAAAGATGGTCATGCTATTAGAGTGCTTGGTAGGGAGAATGGACTAAAATTGCTTCCCCATTACTTGGATTTCTCTACAGTTTTCAAGGAGTTCTTTAGGATGGTGACCAACAAAGCTGGCCACCTTATATGAATATATCATGAGAGTCTAGAATTAACCAGTATGAAAGCCTCTGCTACTTCTAAGTTCACTGGAGCAGATTAACTCTCTAACTCAGAATCACTTGTCTGTGTTGCTCAAGACTCAAGTCTTGTTCACTTCCTGCTTCTTTCTTCTAATCATCCTGCACAATTAGGATGGGGTTTCTGACCTCAAGTATGTCGCAGTGGAGTCCTGCACAGGTTAATTTCCTCAAAGACTCTTCTCCCATTGGCCATCATACAGCTTCACAGTCCTTCTTTTCCCCCATTTTGGTTTTGGACCTTATGGCTGCCACTCCCACCAACTTGATGAGATAAAAGATGGGTGCCAGTGTGTATGTGTGTGTGTGTGTGTGTGTATACCCATGAACAGCCAATCTTTCTTTTTTGTATAGTCCACTTATGCACTAAACTTGAGCGGCAAACTAGACTGTGGTTGTGCAAGAATAGCTCCATTTGTCAATGGGAAGCTCTAGGGTAAAGCCACAAAGTGTGGTCCTACACCTGCTGTTCCCCCAAAGAGAAGGATGCAAATTCTTGTGTATTTTTGGTTTCCTTTCATGATAGGAGAGGTAAATAGCTTGATGGGAATGCATGTTGCTGCCCTTGTTAGAATTTTTTTTTTTTTCAGAATGACAAACTTTCAATGAAAAGTTAAATTCTCGGGGCCAGTCACTGGCATAGTGGTTAAGTTCACACGCTATGCTTCAGCAGCCTGAGGTTCACAGCTTCGGATCCTGGGTGGGGACCTAGCACCCTCATAAAGCCACACTGTGGCAGCTTCCCACATAAAATAGAGGAAGATTGGCACAGATGTTAGCTCAGTGACAATCTTCCTCAAGCAAAAAGAGGAAGATTGGCAATAGATGTTAGCTCAGGGCTAACCTTCCTCAAAAAATAAATAAATAAATAAATAAATTCTGAATCATAGGGAAAAGCTAGAACTAGAACGCAAGTCTCAAAACTGAAGACCCAATGCTCAAGAACTTCAAACTTGCTGCCTGCGTAAATCAAATTGCAGTCATGTATGGGTGATGTAGGTGTATAGGGGTAGGGATAGGAATTAAGCTAAAGTGAAGAGAGAGCAGAGTGAATGCAGAGTCATGGTCTCCTCTCTGTAGTGAAGCCATGTGCTTCCTGAATTTCTTTACAGAGATTATTTAGTGAACGTGTGAAAAAGACAAAGGCCACTTTCTGATTTTTTTCTTATAATTTCTTACAACTTTCTTTATATTTTTAGAATCTGAACAGACTTTTTGCTATAGAACTCAGTTGAATTTCCTAATCGACTTGAAGGAGGGGCAGATATGACAGAGAAGGTTGTATGTTAACTAGCCCTCTGAAAAGTATGGTAACTTCAGTGAAAGATACTTTCTCACATTGGTTTCACGACTTACAGGAAACCTACACTACGTTAATCAATGTTTTGCTGCCCATTTTACCATATAATCCAGTGGATGTTAGAGATATATTTCACCATATAGACCTGATTAATTGAAGAAAAATATGGCTTCTTATTACTAACATTATGAGGTTAGAAATAGCATCCTATGCTAATCTGCAATGCCAAGAAATGAAGATGGTTTAAATCAGATCTCATGACTAATGCATGATACCCAAAGTTCTTTTATTCCTGCCTATTTTAGAACACTGGGGTGTATTTTTACCCTAAAAACTAAGTCTATAAAATTTATTGAGATAATACAAAATGCCTTATTATTAACAGCTCACAATCAAGATTTTGTCCTACTGATGATCACAGAAATGCTGTTTCTCCATTTTAATCTTTAAAGAATTATGTATATGCAATGGGTTAAGGTCACATTCAAGGATATTTGATCCTGACTTCTTGTTATTGTTTTTGTAGATACTCAATATGTGGAAAGACAATAGAAAGTTTGGATTGCTTTCTGTGGTCGCGATTCCATTTTAATTGCACTTATTGTGAATTCATTTAAACAGAACGAAATATATCTAGCAATAAAGTTAGTCTGTTATTTTTGCTTGTTTTTGTTTTGGTCATGACAAACTGTGAAATGCTGTGCTTTTCCTATAGTTCTAGTCCATGAAATCTGCAATCTTTCCACTTGATTTACGAAGGACCCTTAATTACTGCTGTCATTAGCACCTAGTGTTCAAAACAGTCTGTTAAAATGTACTGTTACTCTCACCTCCAAGCCCCTGCTTGCTTTATTTTAATTTTTTTTGCAAGGGTAAGTAAAACAATAATAGCCTTAATAACAACAATCATTATGTACAGCGAATTAAATAATATTCCAAGTTGTTTGGTTCCTATTTATTTTTGTTTAGAATTCGGCATTTGTATGTTAAGACTGGCCTAGAGTTTGAACAAGTGTCCATAAGCAGGGTTATTACTAGCGAGGACTCCTTACCTACATTTTCAAAACAAGTCACTCATTTGCCTTTTTCTTTCCACATGGATAGGGATGACAGACAACTGCTGTGAAGCTTCAGTGTTTCTGTCTGGTCATGCACAGTTCTGCAATATAATGCATAAATGTATAACAACAACTTGGGCTCGCCTGATACCTCGATTGGAATAAGGAAATCCAGCCACGCGCGTCCACGCGGCTGTCCTTGCACGCGCACGCACGCACGCGCGCACACACACACACACACACACACTCTCCCTCTCTCACACAGGTCAAAAGTTGATTAATTCCCGAGATCCCCCAGAATCTTTCTTTTTCTCTTTTCTGGCAGCTTCGGCTTCCCAGTCGGGGTAGTAGAGAGGTTGGGGGCGTAGGAGAGGCGGGGAGGGCGCGGCGAAGGAGGCGGGAGCCGGGTGCCGGTGCGTGCCGCGCCCGCTCCTGCCGGGTGAGAGTCCGGGCCGGGTTTTGCGCCGTGTCCCCGGGCTTGTCTCACGGCCTCCAGCCGCCGCCGCTGCCGTGTTTACTGAGCTCGCGCGTCCTGATATCACTCCGCTGGCATGGAGGAGGAGGAGGAGGTGGAGGAGCGAGAGGAGGAGGAGGAGGCGGCGGCGGCGGCGGCGAGCAGTTGATCATTGTGATGGTGGCAGGAGCAGCGGCGGCAGCGGCAGCCCAGCCGAGCGTTAGGGGCTGCTCTCCGCGCGGCGTTTTGCAAAGGACTTCACCGATCTACTTTTGCAGTCGCCTCGGACTGTCCATGTGTTTACTTCCCCCAGCCCGAGGATTCGATATCTAGGTTCCTGTGAAATGCAACTGAGCAGCCAAAGTACTTTGAGAACACGGGGCGGCATAAACACCAAAACTTTTTTGTGGAAGGAAAATGCAATAAGCAAGCTTGCCGTTTTCCGATGCGGTGTGGAGTGAGTGTGTGTCGCGCGTGTCCGCACTGGAGGCATATGCTTGTGTGTGTACATGGGGTGTGTTTTTCGGTACGTAGGGAGAAAATGCTTGCCAACCACCGGAAATCTCCTGGAATTTATTAGAAAATAATGGATTATAAAAAGAAGGCAGGCAAGGAGCGGATCTCCCCTTGAGTTGCAACCCGATTTGCTGCTGGCTCAGTTTGTTGTGATTCTTTTTGTTGATAGGTGTCTGATGGTATTCTGATAACACCCCCCTTTTTTTCCCCTCGAGCTTTACAGTTTAAAAAAAGGAAACAAAAAAACCACCCCAAAATCTCTCCCCCTTTTTTTCGCCCCGGCGGGATCGCTGTTTCCATCCATGTGCTTGCGTCTCCCCCGCGTTCCACTTAAACTATTTTAATCCTTGGACCCAAGGAGGAGGCTGATAGGGGGGTGGATAAAAAAAGTTCTTCCAAAATAGTGTGCCCGGGGAGCAGGATGGGGGATTTCGCAGCCCCCGCTGCTGCCGCGAATGGCAGTAGTATTTGCATCAACAGTAGCCTGAACAGCAGCCTCGGCGGGGTCGGGATCGGTGTGAATAATACTCCCAATAGTACTCCTGCTGCTCCGAGTAGCAATCACCCCGCTGCCGGCTGCGGCGGCGGCGGCTCCGGGGGCCCCGGCGGCGGTTCGGCGGCCGTCCCCAAGCACAGCACCGTAGTGGAGCGGCTCCGCCAGCGCATCGAGGGCTGCCGGCGGCACCACGTCAACTGCGAGAACAGGTACCAGCAGGCTCAGGTGGAGCAGCTGGAGCTGGAGCGCCGGGACACCGTGAGCCTCTACCAGCGGACCCTGGAGCAGAGGGCCAAGAAATCCGGCGTCGGCACCGGCAAGCAGCCGCACCAGAGCAAACCCCAGCAAGATGCGGAGGCAGCCTCGGCGGAGCAGAGGAACCACACGCTGATCATGGTGAGGGCGCACTGGCAGCGGGCATGGGGCGCGCACGTCGGGGGGGGGGGCGTGGAGCTTCTTACATGGGGGGACAGGGGTCTGATTTGCACGATGGGTGAGGTGGGCTGAAGCCGAAGGGTTAATGTCAACTTTTCTGAGGCAAAAGCTGCCGTCGCCGCTACCTGTTAATCTGTCAGGGTTGTCAGATTTGGGGAAGAGGGGGCGAGAGGGGAGAAGCCAGTCACGACTGCGAGGGGCGGAGGGAGCCTGGAGGAGCGTCAGAGTGCGGCGCTGGAAAAGTTTTTTTTTCCCCTCGCTCCCTTTCTTAGATACCGATTTGAAAGAGAGTGAACCTAGAGTTGAAACCTCGCTCCTCCTCTTCACGCTCCCCATCCCACCCCACCCCTCGCCGTGCCGCCTTTCCTCCCCAGATCCGTCCCCCTTCGCCCACCCCTCTCAGCACTCCGTTGGGTGCAGAGAGAAATTGATGCTGTCGCAGATTCTGGGCGGGCACCAGGCCCTCAAACCCTGGGGGGAGTGGGGGAAGGGAGAGGCTCTCGCCTCCTCTCCTCAGCTCACCCCCTTTGGGCTGAGAAAGTCTGAGAGTTTTGTGAATGAACTTTGAAGTGGGTGAGAAGCGAGCGAGGGTGGCTGCGCGCGCGCATTCGCGGGAGCGCGCGCGGATGGGGGCGCGGGTGCGCTCCCTCGCCGCTGGAGACCCGGGGCCGGCCCGGCAGGTGGAGCGGCTGGGAGGGTCGAGGGAGGAGCGGCCCGGCGGGGGCGGGAGGGGAGACCTACGCCCTCGGCTTGTGGCGAGTCCCCGCCACGCAACTTTGATGGAGATTCCTTCCTCTCCTCCCCTTAAACTTGTGCGCCGAGCCTTCCCTCCTTGGCCCCCCGCCCCGCTCCCCGCCAACTTTCCGGGCCAGTCTAATAAGCCCGAGGAGTGGAAGGTAGCTGGGAGGTGAAAGAGGCTTAAATGGCTGGGTGGGTGGGTTCGAGGTAGGATGAGCAGCCAATGGCTTAACTTCTCGGGGAGGAAGGGGCAGTTCCCACCCCTAACCCTTGAGGGTAGAATCCTTTCTCTTATCTCCTCTCTCCGGTTCTTTTGCTTTCCTTTCTGGGTGGGGGGAGGCCGGAAGCTTGGGAAGGGTGTCTGCTGCCCCCTCCCCCACCGCGCCGCCGGGGTTAGGGCTGCGCGCGGATGCGGGGTGGGCCGGGCGCTGGGAATCCGGGAGCGCGGCGGGGCCGCGCGCCTTCGCTCGGTTCCCTTGCAGACCGCACCGCGATCGGCGGCGCAGGGCCCGGCGCGGGCGGCTCTCTCGGTGTGCGGTTTATACATCGCGCACGTCCCCATTCTGGGAGTCATCGGCGCCGGGGTGGTGCCGGTGCGGCCGCGGGCTTGCGCCGGGCGCTCGGGCCGGCGCTCCTTGACAAAGAGCCGGCTTGGGGGGAGGGGAAGAGCAGCGGCTGCCGCGCTCGCTCCCCACCCTCTCCACCTCCCCCCACCCCGCACGTGAAGAGGAACAATTTGTTTATCTTGGGCTTCAAGAATCCTTCCCTCCTCCCAGTTCTCCGAGGCCGCCCAGCCCCTCCTCCCTCTCCTCCCTCCCTGGCGCGATCCTGCCCAGTCCTGCCGGCAGCACCTTCCCCCCTCCCCTTCCTCCTCCCCCCTCCTCTTCCTCCTCCATCCCTGTAGCCCGCCTTCCCCCTCCCTTTTGGAACGCGGCCGTGGGGGAGGGAGCGGGAGGCGCTTTGTCCGCCTCGCGGCCCAGCTCGGCCCCGGAGGCCGCCCCGCTGGGAGGGGCGCGGCGCCCCACGGCCCTGCCCCCTCCCCCGCGGCCGCCCCCGCCCCGCTCGGCCCCGCTCCCCGCGCCGCGGAGCCAGCCCCGAGCGCGAAGAAGAGGCGGACTCCGTTTTGAGGAAGAACGACGGTCACAAAGTCAGGGAGGGAGGTTCTCGCTTTACAAACAGGAAGCCGAAAACCACTGACACACTGTAGCTTTTCTGATTGTACCCGGAGGCGGGGCCGGACCTGCATCTTGACTGTATCTCCTGTACCCTCCTGGTACCTGTTTCTCTCAGGGTCCGCGTCGTCTCCCACGCCCCGCCCCTCGCGCCCTTCCACGGGGGGGGGGGGGGGGGGGACTCGGCGAACCTAAGAGTGAAGTAGAATTTGAAAGGCACTGAGAATTTCATGTTTGCCTACCCCACGCCCTGTTTTCATGTGTTTGTACACCTCACACGCACGGATGGCGTGGAAATGGGCTGCTTTCGTGAGGCGCCAAAATTTTAGTGCCACGGAGTCTTTCCCGACCTTTCCGGATAGAGAACTGCTGTGGCGCTTACCTTGCCAGCTGGGCAGTGCTGGAACAAAAGCCAAGACCGGTCCCACTGCTGGGTCGCTTTTGATCGCGGGCGAGAGGAGTAGAGTTTGCGGCCAGAAAGTTTTCGTGTTTGGGTTCTGTTCTCACACGGGTCCCCTGTCGGCCCTCAGAGGGGTAAAAGGAGGACTCATGGTGCGCGCACCCGCAGGTAGAACCAAGCCCAGGATCCCGACGTTACCTGGAAGGAGGTAGCAAGCCCAAGCCAGAGCTTTTACTTTTGAAAATGAAAAGATAATGCTTACTTGAATGAAGGAGACAACAGCTGTTAATTTCATAGTGAATCTCAGTTTAACAAGTTAACAACACATAGACTTGAAAAATGACTACCTGAAAATAACATTTTTCTGTTAGTTTTGTGACAGTAATTTAGCTTATTGATCAGACTGATGTAAACTCCAAGGCTAGGTACAGAATAGGAGTATATTCTGGCTTCAACAGTATATCATATATGCGTCTCCCATAGATATCACGGGAAGTATGTGTGATGAGTGTAATGAAAATAAACAGCTTTAAATCTTAAGCAAAGAGTTGCATGTCAATTCTGTGTGCCCCAAAAAGAAAAGAAATTAATATCATTCAATATGTTATTTTTTCTTTAAAAATAAATAGTTTAATATTCACATTGGCCCCTGAAATGAAAGAGTATTTTAGTTTAGCTTGTGTGTGAGATAAAATCTCGGAAACAGAGGTGGCAAAGAAATGTTGCTCTTCGTTTTCTTGAATTGGCTGCTGGATTATAGTTGTGCTCTGCTGGGGCACGGAACAATTATATTTAGTTCTGAGATGGGCCTATTTGGAAAGCCCTAAAGAAAAGCAATAATCAGAGGAAAATAATAATATGTAATGGTGATGATAAAAATAAAGATGAATAGGATTTTCTGTTTTATTGCTATTGTTTACCTTCTTAGGACAATGTGTCCAAAGTACTAAATATCGATTAGCTGTCTTTCTGCCTGGCTTTGGTTAAGAAGGCAGTCTAATCAGAGCTTCACCTCTTTTGATTTGTATTCTCATCTTACATGTTTACAAGCATAGGCATGAAAAACAAACAAGCAAACAAAAAAACAGGATGGGAGAAGTGAAATAGAAATCTTCTCTGGCTCCAGGCTGCTGGGAAGGGCTTGGGTTTTGTGTGGGTCCCTCAATAGCCCTGTTAGAGAGCAGTTAGCACAGGCCTGGGTTTCAAGCTGCCATTACCTCAGGTGAAAAGGTAGTTTCTGGACAAGTAGTCAAATGATGCCCCCCGACACACACTTGATTTATACAGAAGAGTTTTTTCCCCGCGCAAAGAGTTGCTGATGAGGACTATTGATTTCATCTACTAGAAAGTCTCAATTGAAAAGGTTTCTTTTCCTAAAATAGTTTTAATTATTTGTGCTAACGCGAGACATTGTTCATTCCCTGTACTTGAAGTCCTGGTTAGAATTTTAAGGTAAATTCCAATTGACATTCATTTTCAAGCCAAAAATAGATTGACTTGACAAAAATATAATCATTCACGCATGCCAGAAAGCATGATAGTGCAGTCTTCAGAATTCCAAAACCTTGGTAGTCTTAACTTGACCTGCATAGTCCCATGTTTCTGTGACCTTTCCACTATATTAGCACCATCATAACTTTCAGAGTGTGCTTAATTTGTACACAGCTTTCAGACTGCATAGATCTATGTGATTCCTGCTCTGAAGAGTTTATCATGTAAAATTCATTTGGGGGCTGGCCCCGTGGCCGAGTGGTTAAGTTCGCGTGCTCCGCTGCAGGCGGCCCAGTGTTTCGTTAGTTCGAATCCTGGGCGCGGACATGGCACTGCTCATCAGACCACGCTGAGGCAGCGTCCCACATGCCACAACTAGAAGAACCCACAACGAAGAATACACAACTATGTACCGGGGGGCTTTGGGGAGAAAAAGGAAAAACTAAAAATAAAAATCTTTAAAATTCATTTGATAATAAATGTGTTAATTACTGAGTATTGGAGAAAAATGCAACCGGTCCAAAATGTTCTCATCCATTCTGGAATAGATCCAGGAAATGTCAACATATTCGTCCAGTGGTACACCTCCTTATAAATGACTGGTTTCCCATTTCTTATCCTTTTAGAGGTAAATTACTGGCTCTATATCCAGGTTTTCTGGCAAGCTTGTAACGCCAAACCATTTCTAAATCTCTCTTATGAACCTTTTCACTGGCTTATCCTGTTCTACTGCTGTCCTGGGTGATTAGATTGACAGCTGTCTCCTTAAAACCCTTCCATGCCCACACAGGGTGTGCCTGAAGTTTGTGAAAAACTTTTTGAAAGTTCACTTGTCTTCTCTTGTCTTTTTCTTGTCTTTTAATTCTCAAAATGAATTTGTTTTTTAAAAAAAGCTCCAATGCGTATTTAATTATGTTGTTTATATTCTTTGGTTGTGGTCCATTTTATTTAGGACTGGGCAGCCAGTGATCAGAAAAGTAGAAGCACAGTTAATCATTAATCAGAATCTACAAAATGCTCTTCAGGCTGAGTTCCTTCCCAGGCAGAGCTGAATTTTCAGGCAGGTGTTATATTTCCTGTCTCATTAGGATTATAAGGGCAAGTTTTAGAATCTTTGTAGGTTTTCTGCCACCTGGTATGAGGAAATTGAACAGTCCACG